CGCTGCGAGAGTTCAATTTAATCTGATAATGGCAATGCAAGAGGGCGTTATGGAATGCCTTTAGGCCTGGCTTGACTAATGTCACCTCTTTGTTAACATGTTTGCCACGTTCACCTACTCGTTTACATTTGGGCTTCTCACCTCTTCAAAACAGGAATATTCACTCTTTTGATGGGCTGACCTCAGTTCATACAAGAATGCTGGATAAGTTTATCTAAGAAAAAATTCTCGAGTCTACCGGAGTGGTGTTGCGTGATGGAATATGACAGATATATGGGCGGTTTTGACATCTTTCGCATCAAGAATTAACATATTTGTAGATTCGCGGTTAAGAAGTCATCACGTTTGCCCTGGCAACAATCTCTCTTCTACTGACAATTTTTTTCCTATTTCAGAAAATGGTGATTGTTTTCTTAATTGTTTTCTTAATTGTCGCTCTTGTCCAAATTGTAATTGGGAGTGTTTTTACCCCGTCAATATAGTTCTACTCGTTTTCAATACAGGCAGACAGTTTGGTTGAATAGGAACTGTTAATTTCAGATTAAAATACAGTGACAAGAGATCTTGAGAAGCAAAACAACTCTTCCTGGGTTTTTCTACCTCAAAAACCAGAAAAAAAAACCAATGTACCATTTTGCTTGATTACGTAATGTTATGCATGCAAATGATCCTGGAACATTTAAAATTCAATATTTGCAAGAAGAAAATATTGTCTACAGCTTTTGGCGCTACTCCACAAATGCAAAATCGAATTAGACAAAGCACACTATTCAAATATGTTGCTCTAAATCTTAGATTACATGCGGAGCATCATATTAACCCTCTAGTTAACGGTAAATCAGGCGTGCGGCTTTGGCGCATAAAGCGCGATGTTTATGACGAGGATTTTTTTAATATTTCACGAAGTTCCAACGTATTTGCGCCATATGTCTATTATCGACTAGACGAGGTATAGTTTTCAGGACGTCATTCAGAGGCTCCTAATTGTCATAGTTACAACTGTTTATTATCAGTATGATCAGCAAAGTACAGTTTTGAGCCGAATTTTGTGATAGACATCTACAAGATGGCTCCTCATATTCTCAGTTTTCAGAAACGGTCGAATGAATTTTGGAATGCAGTGTTTGCGCACTTAGACTTTTCATTTTTGATTTTGTCCTTTCTAAACAGCTGATATTAATTTATGATTAAATTTTAGCGATGGTCGCTACGTTCAATCATTTCTTTAAGTCCCTTTTTCAGAATTATCGATGAGAAAAGAATATGAAAGGGAGAAAAGGTGTGATTTCTTGTTGCCAATCTTTATACATATCGTTCTTGAATGCAATTTTCCTCACTGCGTTACGCGCTTCGAAATTATAACACTATCCTATGATAATCAAAGAGGCAAGTGTATTGTAAAAACTGTAAAACGGTAGAAACACACAAACAAGTCGAAAAAAATAAAAAAAGTGATAAAAATCATGATCCCTCCAATTTCGTGGGAAGCAAACCCTTTCATTTTAACCTTTTGATGTTTTTACTTATTATTATTATTTTTTAATCATATTTGTCGTTGTTTTCCCTGAAAACAACAAGGCCGCTTATCAAGAGGGGTCGCAATACTACGAAGTTTTAATTCCATTTATAAAGGCCCGCATTCACACACCAAAAAAAACCACACACACACAAATTGCAGTAGCAGAAAATTAGTCTTACAGAGCTAGGAATACTGTTTATGCAATCAAAAATGGCCAAAGAAAAGCGATTAGTATTAATTATAAAATTTGTAATTCGCGGAAAAAAAGCACAATTGACATCGCAATTTACAGACTCAACACCTTACAATAAAAAAATTTAGTTTCCTTGTATCGCCACCTCGATGACCATGTCTCACATTATTAGCGGCACACTGTAAAATGAAAAGAGCCAAATTGACCCCAAAAGCCAAATTGGCCCCAATTTCTCGAGGGCCAATTTGGCCCATCAAGGTTCGTTTTGGACTATTTGAGCCAAAACGGGTGGGACAGGTACCATTTTGACCCCTCAAAAATCTGAATTGGCCCCTATGAATTCTACTTTGGAACTTTTTCTCAATTTGGCCCTTCCAAGAGCCAAGTAGGATTGACCAATTTGGCCCCAACGAGGTGCAATTTTTGAAAAAAAAAATAATATAAAAATAATTTTCTTTTTTCGACCATATTTCGTTCCCCATACTATTCCTTATAACGTGTTCAAATTTTCAACGGTTCCTCTCGTAACTGAACACCGAGTCACACAACGAATTAATCGTTGGCTTTTTCTCGAGACGTGAGCGTTGGCTGCCTGTGATCGCATTAGTCGAACCTAGACCACGTGCGTCGGACACAATAATGAATTATAGCAGCGAATTCATCACTGAAGAGGCTGTTTCTTGGCTACAGTCGCATGGAATAAGACTTAAGAAAGGAAAGGTAAGCAAAAGAAATTTCTTAACAACGCATTTTACTGCAACTTTACATACACAAACTTGACCGCTCCATTGATCTTTGTTCGTATCTTATCTTGCAGAAAAGGACGGTTACGATGGCCAAGATCTCCTTACCATCGCCCAAGATGCAGACGTACCAAGGCACTACATCCCTATTATAAAAGAGCGTCTAAAGTTCAAGAAATTGATTGCAATGAACGCTGAACCTAGAAATGACACGAGTTCCTCGTCGGTACGATGGTTAATTTTCCCACCAGAGAATTTGACGCATGAATGGTTCGCCTCTTCTCCCGAGTCTTGTTGAGTCTCAGCGGTTTCACAACTAAAGTCACGTGATCAAATTTTGGCGCCGAGAGATAGAGACGGTTACAGTTCGAATACTGCATTTGCACAAGATGGATTTAACTTATTTCAAGATTCTCAAATTTTTTTGGCTCTCTCTCTTTCAGCGTGCAGAATCAAGTCCTTCGAGTAAGACGGTTCAAACGTCGATTGATTCAGATAACATCAGCGATTATGAAAATTTAGACATTGACATGATCAGTTGCAAGATCCAGGGGTACAAATGCGTAACATTAGGGAAAAACTAGCAACTTCATAAAATTACCAAAAAATCATCAAAACATAGATTATTCATAAACTTTTATTGTAAGAACTACTTTTTGAGAAAATATTTGATGTTATCTGTTAAATTATCCTCATTACTTAATACCCAGAATGCATAGCAGGCGTGGTCATATATTCTATTTACACATTTGCAGGCTTAAATTCACGATTCTGTTTAGAAATAACACAGTTTTATTTACATAACTAAAAAGAAGACATAATTTCCTCATGCTGGTTGGGTAAAAGCTGGAATAATACATTTCTACGCCTATTTAATTTCTTGAGTTCTCCACAGATAGTCCTGACAGTGTTTGCATACACAATAGCTTGTTTATTGTCAAGCTTGTAGGTCATGTCTATAATATTGTCCCTTAGGAAAAAGTTACCCTTGAAGACAAAGGAACCTTTCTGATAAGCAGCACTATAGTCATCAACTTCATCTTCACCCAAAATTATGGGGACACCTTGTCCTTTGCACGTTTTTTTGCCATCCTTGAACTAAAAGCTGGTGTGGTGATGTTGACTTCCGGTTTCGGTTGCGCAAATGATGACTCTTTTCTATTCTGACGAAGTTTTCGAACCCTTTCTCGAGTTTGCTGTCGCTTTTTCTCTTCCCTCTCTTTTTCTCTTTGCTTCAAAACCTTCTTCTTGGTAGCTGATGCAGCATTCCGCTCACGGTTGGCTCTTTTGTCATCAGCCTTTTGTGCAGATGTGCGTGTTTTCACTGCGGCGACTGTCGCGTTTTTTTTCTTGCTTCGAAGCAAGCGCATTCTTTCTCTTGCTTTTTGTGCAAGAACTTCTTTGTTTCTTTCATAGTATTCCCTTTGTTGTTTAAGCTTTTTTTCTTCTTTTTCTTTTCTCCATTGATCAGCAGAATATTTTTTGTTTTCCATTGAATATTTCGCAAGCGAAGCGTGTAAATTCTCGACGGAAGAAGTCACGCTAGGGAAGTCACGTTCTCTAGTAATTTCCAGTCTCAAACGATCGTTTGTTCATGGGTGTATATCAATTAATTGTTGTATACCCCCTCTAGATGTAATGTACAAGGTTGTTGTAAGCGAGGAAGAAGCGAAGTTTAGATGCGAAGATTTCTAAAACTGCCACTATTTTGCGCGTGTAAACTGATACACCAATGCAAACAATACTGTTCCAAGATCGAATATGTTCGCGATTCAAAAAAGACATAAATTTAGATGTTAAATTGAGTTAGATTCGTGAACATTTGGTACCGATAGAAAGTTTAGAATTTGAGAATGACAGATCTGCTAGTTGAAGAGCAATTTCATTTTAAGCGCGGCTATCACAGACCTTTTTGGAGATGAGGATAAATAATTTTAAGGTAAATTTTCTATGCATTTTATGTGTTCGCGATTCAGACTTTTTGGATTTTTTACGCTGTCTTTGAATTAAATGGAATAAAAATTTGTATACAGAAAATAAATCATCTGAGAATTATTGTATGTATTTTTTTAAACTGATTTGAGCTTTTTTTGCGACAAAATCTTGGTGACTATGAAGTATAGTACAATATTGTATAAACAGCGTTACATGTTCGGTCGCCGAGAAAATTGTTTCGTAGCGCGAATATTACAATTCAGTGTTCCAATTTTAACTATTTTATTGAAAAGTCTATGTTTCTAGTGTATTTCTAAGTCAAAATTATTTTGAAATTTTAAATTTTTAAGTAAGAAATTTTTGAATATGTTTGATGCTTTGTCAGATTATGTTACGCGTTACATAAGAATTCGCCTCACTTTTCTGAATACTAAAATCCATAAAAAAATAAATTCTTCCTCTATTACCACGATTTTTGGTTTAATACAAAGAGGTTAACTATATCTAACAGGATATATAAGTTTTAAAGTGTTTTGTTTGAAATATATATTTTTTTGCTCAATATGGTTTTCGTAAACATGTTTTGCCACCCTGGATCGTGCTACTGATCCATTGGCATTGAAAGAAAAGGGTAAATCGCTCAAGGATCTCTGTTTTACCGACGAGGCGACAGAACTGAGCACTGTCTAAGTAAGTTCTTGTATTAAACTTAGCAGGATGGTGAAGAGTACATTATCGATTACTTTCTTTCGATTTTATCCCAAAGGAAAACACACTAGGTGCCAGTTGGTCAGTTAAAGATGAGAAATCTCGGAGATTGCACCTACAAAAATGGCGAGATTTGCTTTATTTTTATTGAAATATATTAGATATGTATTTACTTGCACCATGCATAAAACAAAGTAAACCCAATGTTTAAATCTGGTAAATTAAAAAATTAGTGAATTGATAGGATGTTATCAGACAGTTTAATTTTTGAATAAAAATATTTACCTACAGGTTCCTCCTGGATGGCTTTCAAAATTCCAACTACCGTCGAGGGTAAGAAACTTTTTTTGTTTTGTTTTTTAAGTCTACAAGCAATCCTTATTTATTCATGAATACTGAACTAAAACTGAAGTGCATAGAGCTATGATTTCTTTTCTTGATAAGTACATATACAGTTTGGTGAAAATACATCATTGATGATCACCATTATTGTGTTTTTACTTCTTATGCACAGTTTGCTAACAAATCTTTTGCAACTTTGTAGTTGCAAAAATTTACTGTTCTCCAACAACAAATTAATTTGCTCATTTGTTTGTTTTTTGGTACAGTTTTCTGCCTCAGAAGAGTTGGATATCCAGAAGGGATATCTCATCAGCAGCCTAAAGTACTCTGAGCAGCAGTGGATTGCAAAAAAAAAATATTGCAGAGTATCCTTGTATGGCTAGCAGGATACTAGACAAAGTTGACTTGGAAACTGAATGGATTGGTATGGTTTAAAAATCTATTGCTTCACCTCTTCTGCTTGCAGTGAAGAGAGACAATTTTGTGGTGCTGAATCTCTTGCCTTAAACTAAAAAGTTGCAAAATAACCACTCTCCCCTTTTAAGTCCATGACCTTTGTTCTTGTGTGTTTGCCATCACATATGCATTGAATGAAGTTGTGACCATTTTGGAGGTACAAGTCCAAAAAACTACTACTTTGGTACTAAGATGAACAGCTAAAATTTCTGAGCCCATTTGCCAATGAAGTCCAGATACAAAGGTTCAAGTACTTTGGGGTTGTATTAATTTTGCCTTCTTTTTGTTTAGTTTTCTTGATTTTGCAATTTTTTAAAAAATTCCTGTTGTGAAACCATTAGATAAATATTACAAATGGAATAGCTGATTCTTTTCAGATATTTTGGGAGTCAAACATCAGTTTTTCAAGTCTTGAAGGGGAGACAAATTACACACACTGAGCTAAACTTCCACTTCCATTTCTGGTGTTTTAGCTTATAGTTTTAGAAAAACATTACATATATATATATATGTAAATGTGGGGGTAGAGTCTACCTTGGCATAAAATGCTCAATGCTGTGGTAGCAGAGCTAAGTATACATAAGTTAAAGAATTAAAGAGGACGCATCGATTCTCTGTGACTCTGAATTTCGCGCCTAAGCGCTTGTCAGACAGAACTTTTCTGTCTGACGAGCGCTTAGGCGCAAAACTCAGTCACAGGGAATTGATGAGTCCTCTTTAATTCTTTAACTTATGTGTATATATATATTCTTTTTCTTTTTACTGGCTAAAGGCACTTTTTGCACTTTGGCTTGATTTTAATGAGGTTGTAAAACTTGTTTTATTGCATATAGTAGCTGATGTTGATTCAGCAATCAAAGATTATGTTTAGCACAAATTTTAATTGTTGGAGATCTTCAATACATCAATCTCCTGAATATAGTAACAGAGGGAAGTGTAATTTGTCACTTCTCACAAGAAAAGATTCTTGATGCTCTCATTGGGTTACTTGGCTCATTTATATTTTCAATGTTTCTTACAATCGGTCAAAGGCAATTTTGACTTTTTTTAGAGCAAGCATTGCTTGAAATTGGGCACAGGCAGACTCTTGCCACTGTTTCCTCTGTTTTCAATGACTTGGTAAATGCCTGAGGTAGTACTTGCTGATAGTTTATATTTTGATAATATCTAAAGTAGCAATATGAGTGTATGTATTCTCACATCCATTGGAAGAATACTCTATTCTGCTCTAAGGGTCTTTGTTTTTCATATGCACAAATCAAACAAGATCTATATTCTTGTGCAGGAACTGGACCATTTGTTGCCTCTGTCTTATTTTGATAATTTTCTGTACTTTAAATCAGTCTTAATTATAAGCTGCTTTACATTACCACATTTGCTAAGTCATTGAAAAGGGAAGCTTTACTCACAAGTGTCTCTTGGATGTAATTTCTTGCAATGCTTGCACTGTTAAGAAGTATACTGATTTAGGGAAGAGATCTATTTTAGAAAATGGTTGAATTAATGTTAAATATGTATGTATGTTCTATTCTTTCATGATGTTTCAAAGTTTGTCTGTTTTATACCACAATTAAGATTCTTAATAACTGTAAAATCAAGTAGCGTAAAAGGTTTTTACATAAACAATATCTAGAACCTAATAAATGAGTGTTTGAAAGATAAAGTATATGGTGTATTTTCATTATTTGACTGTAAGGGGAAAAATCAGCATGGAGAGGAAAGAGCCCTCTACTTCTGAAGTGGCCCACATTGAAGCTGAATTGGCTCCTTTTAAAGGGGCCATTTGTGAGAGGGCTGAAATTTTGGGGGCTGTTTTGGCCCCTATAAATTTCAAAGTGGCCCCTGTATTTTTCAAATCTACCCTTCACATGGTCCAATTTGGCCCCTACAACGGGGTCGATTCAGCCCCAAAATTGGTGCCAAAAACAGCCCCATTTCAATGGGGCCGAATTGACCCTAAGCCAGTACCAAACTGGACTCACTCGTTTTGGGCCCCATTTTTGGGGCCAAATCAACTCTTTTAATTTTACAGTGCAGAGGTAAGGAGGACATTACGTTGGGCGGCATACCGTGGGCAGTACAAGAAAAAGTGTTTCACTGATTCAGACCGCACACGCAAAAAAGGCGACGCACAACTATTTATTTTGAAAAGATGTTCTCCAAGACTAGAAAACCCAAGTCAAAGGTGGTTGTGATCAAAAGATAAACGCCTTGAAAAATAACAATCATGTAACTCGCTGTGAGTATGGGGAAGATAATTGACCATGTTTTCGCTGTAAAGGAAAAAAGTGGGAAGAGAAGATACAGAATTTCGGACATCTTGGTGCTGAGAATGCGGATGGAAAATAAGACTTCTGAACAATGATAGACGTTATATGTAGGAAATTGTGCGTAGTTTTCCCTTAAGCTAAGACAGAAATGTGTACGTTCACCAGATAGTTTGGGCAATAGTTCAATCAAATAACATAAAGCAAGATTCTCAGCTATTTTGTAAAATTTGCTCAATTTATGTAGCTCTCTCTTGATACTGTAAGGCTCCTGAGAAAGTTCCTCTTGTAACTTCCCACAGCTGTGTTTTCAGTTCAGCTCTAACACCTCGAGATTTCTCCGTTACACCAATCTAGCTCACACAAAACAAGCTAGTTTTTTAAATACTTTTTTTAAGCAATGTCAAAAGTGGTCAGTTGTCCGTAAAAAAAAAGATTCGCAACAGTACCGTTAAATAGACAGAGAGTAATGATCTCAATAAACTGGTCGGTCCTGCTCGTAGTGACGCGACTGTAAGTGACAATGTCAAAAACAGTTTTACTATGCTTTAGCAATCTCCTCACGAATGAGTATTTGCTCGGAGACGTATACCAAGCTCAGAGCAAAGTTTGGGACATGCCGAAAACCGTTTCAACAACTCCCTCGTAAAACTGACTATCTATGTGTATTATATTGCAGAGAATGTTATCAGCTCAAGCGAAAAAAGGTCAAAATTCTTGGCCTCGGGGCATTCTTTGCTCTCACACTTGTTGCTATGGAGCAGAATCAAAAAACTTTAGTACGTTTATCGAAACAAAACAAGACTAGGGAAGAACACAAAAAAGTAAGCATATGTTCCGCAAAAAAAGGCAAGCACACATGTAGAGTTCGTATTGTTCAAAACGGCGTAATCGTAATCGTTATGATTCGCTGTGGATTTCTATTTTGGAGAGAACAATCCAACCTGATCGACAAGGGACAGATTTGAAGTAGTTGTTTGCAGATCCACCAACCATATACAGAATGCACTGACTCGAAAGCTAGAAGTTGTCATATAAGCTCTGTTGCTGACACGCAAGACCTAAAAGGTTACCGCTATTCCTGTGGCGCGGTTATCGTGACCTTCCAGTTTGTTTGACAGCTTCATTTGCTTCGTTACTGGCGCTACATGTGTTGTTAATTATGTTTCGTATCACAAAACAAAGCTGCTTATGCAACGCAGTGTTCAGCCGAAATTATATAAAAAAAAAGTACTGCCTTCTGTTCGGATTAATGTATCGAATAGCAAACATTGTTGTTACCTTCATAGAGTATCAATTTGACGAACTTTGGTGGTAGGAATACGATTCTATGAGTCATTCCACTACCACAGATCATTCTGTTATTAAAGTCTGTGTTACATGTCAGTGTCTTTAAAATCATCTGAATCTGAGGAATTCGACCTCTACGAAACCGAAGTTTTCTCTCTCTAGCTCTAGAAGCGAAGGTGAAGGAAAAATTTCACGACTGACGCACTATCAAGACAAGATCTGAGCTCGGTTTTAATACCACCTAACTTCTTAACTTAACACTTAAGTGAACTAATCTGTGTTGCATGTCTAATTTAGGAAAGGTTTCAAGCGGTTTAGCAGTAGTTCTGAGCATTTCTACGTATTGGCGGTGTAAATGCATTATTCAGGTCGTTTTGGTAATCAAAAACCACTGATTGAAAATATGCCAAAATCAAACTCACCTATTATCTCAAACGTCCTCCCAACACTGGGCTGCCTTCACACGCCTGACTGCCCTTATCCGCAGTGCATGGCTTGTCACTTCAGAGTGACATGCGCAGTTGGGAGTCCTAAATGAACAGCCTATTGTTTTGCATAAGCCTGTTGACAGATGAATGTGATACAGTCATGAGAGGAGAATGAGAAAAGAATGTGTTCATATGTGAGTTTGGGTCTCTTTTAAACAAACCATTTTCACCGAACGAACTCATGTATTATCGAAACAAGAATGGCCTAAATACTCTGTCGATGGAATATTTGTCTCTCATGTTCAAACAGAAAATATCATACGGTTTGTAAGAGCAATATCAGTATCTAAAATGTAAGAAAATTTCGGATTCTATGCTTCGAGTTTAATACCTTGCTTCTTTGTACTCTGATCCGCAGTGTAAGACTACACCAAAGATACAATGCCGTCCCGGAGGAAGACTCCCTAAAACTTCGTGACTTTGGCGCTCGTGGTGGGCCCCCCCAATAATTTTAACCCTGCTACGGCACTGAGATATTATGCGAAGAAGCTTCGAGATAATGCTAGAGGAAATCGGCTGTAATGTTTTGTTTGTTAGTTAATGTTCAAAATGTATCAAATTATTCGGAGAAAAAATATGTCTTAGATGTGAAGTTCCTTCCGCTCAATGTTCTGTTATTTATATATTTATCTGATCAGATCTTTTATAACGCTGTGCACACTGTCAGCAGTTTTGTTTGCGGTCATTTTGAAAGATATAATCTTAATAAGTCATGGTCTCTTATGACAAGCGTTGAACTACAATTTTAAAAAGAGGGAAATTGAAATTGCTTCTCCCGAGCCATTTCGGCAAAGAACTATCATCGATGAAATCCTGGACAATCAGAGTTCCTAGGGCTTCCTCCTCTGGCTGTAGTTTTCCAAACACAGGGCCTCTGAATTGGTCAAGGGAGGGGAGAGGAGGGGATTGGCATATGCGAATATGGTTTATTTAGAGATCAAGGCAGCTGGTAAACTTGTTTTTCTTTTAACACCCAATTTAGTGGTAGAACAACAAAGTTTGAGCTGAATTTTTGTGCAAATCCTAATGTACCATTTCTTCTCTCTGCTTTGGGACACGCTGCAACAAAGCGTACTGCATTTAGAAACCTTGTCATGAAAAACCTCTCTGAAGCCGGGACTAAAAACGGGTATGGATTTTGGAGGACAGTTTTAACAATGCTTGGGGAAATGGAACGTTTTGGGCTTTCATACAGTTAGAATATCCTTTGTGTCTACCCCTACCTGCCGAAACGTACCGTCCTTCAACGCTTTTCGTTATTATGGAATTCTGAAATGCTTATTTATCGAATCCAGTCGAAGGCAACGCGTGAATTTCACCAAATAAGCTGACTGGTTGATTGTAGATTAGTTCGTTTGACTCGTTTTTTCGTTCTCCGAGCGGTACATTCCTACGTCTCTTCTGTCCACTCTCCCTTTCTCTCTTGAGTCATGTATTGCATTTAGAGTGGATTATTATTTTCACAGAAGTTCATCATGATCATTGTCGGTGGCTTTCGAGTTCAGACTCTCCAGTTTTATTTT